CGTCTTAGCTAAGTCGCGTCTTATTTTAGACGAAATGTGCCGTTTATACCGAAAGTTCGCGTCTTATGTAAGACGCGTCTTATTTTTCCTCGCATAAATGGCCCTATTGTCTGTAGTGCGCGGTCTACAATGAAGCAGTTGCGATACATTAAGATGTATAAGCCAGTTAGTGGTAAAGGGGATAAGGGGAGATCAGAACGTCAGATCAGATAAAGATAGTTAACGATAGGATCTGTGCGATAAAAATTCTGCAATTAAGAGAATAGCCATGCTCGGAACCTACAAGTGGCAAACTTCTACATTAAAGTAATAAATATAATTAAAAATCAAGTATTTCTACTCTAATTTTTCTAATAGCAAGCCTAATAATAAGTCAAAGTTATGTGATTTTTAAAGTTATGAAGCATGTTCTTTCGCTTTAATTTCAGAAACTATTCGAAATATTGGAACTTCCTCTGGGATTCCCGGTATGGTAACTGCTATACATTCAATGGAGGAATCACCAATGAAGGCGAAAAACAACGGGTGCTTCAATCTTACGTCACGGGACCAACCGGCGGTAATCAATACGTCTTTTCTGAGTATACAGTCAACTCTCTCTAAGACGGACCTTTGGGACCGGCACTAAGTGTCTGTCTTAGAGAGGTGTCCGTCTTATAGAGAGTCAAATAAAGGGAGTAAAGAAAGGCAGGGACCAACTCTAATTGTCCGTTTTACAGAGGTGCCCGTCTTACAGAGGTGTCCGTTAAGAGAGAGTCGACTGTATTGTCTAATTTTATCAAAAGATTAGTTTGAAAACGTTGATCGTCAATCAGCTGTCTCATTTATTGCCCGCTCAGGAGTATTTTGGGCAGGAAAAAGCTTTGTTTTATTTCTATAGCTATTTCAAGAGCTGCTCGAGTAGTGTTGGAAAATACAGCAATGACTAATATTGTAAGAAGGGCGGCTACAGTACTAACATTTGTTTCATCAGCTGCGCAAGTATATTGGCCGCGCTAATGTTTGGATCGCTGAATTGATCAGAGGGATCCGGAATTAGGAATATTAAAGTCCATTTCAATTATTCTTGACGATGGCCAATCACGTTATTTGCAAACATTGTCGATAATACCAAGCTTTGTCTGACGCTGTTATGAATCGGTCTTAAGACGATTGTGAGAGTTCATGATAGGTTGTGTCAGACTGTGTGCCTTGTCCGGAGTGTTCGCACTCATTAGAAAATCACTCTCCCCTCCTCCCTTCCCCGGCAGGAGACAAACAATACGGATTTACATCTCAGTATCATAAAATATAGCCTTCCAGTTGATAGATCGTTCTCTGTTTCCTCTTACTGTTTTTAGGACTTAAACTAAACTTGTTCATAGAACAGTCTCAATACATCCCCGAAATTAGTGACACGGCAGGAGCTAGAGTGGTGATTCACGAACAAGGACAAGTTCCCTTTCCTTACAATGAAGGCCACAGTGTGCTTCCGAGCAGATCTACATCTTACCGAGGGGGCGGGCGTCGGGGATTATAGCCCCGCCCCCTAAGTAGTTTTGACACTCATGCAAGATGGCAGCCCGTAACGGAAAGCGCTCGATCTCGACGATCTTACGGAAAAATAGAGGACTGTGAACAATCCATTTCATTAACTTTATCAACGACCTGCTGAAAGTGCAGGTTTATGTCATTTCAGAATGTCTCGATTTTCCGTGCTCGAGTCTAAAATATGTTCTACTATAAGCCATTTTGCTGCTAGCTTTTCGATGCTTTAATTGGTTCTGTTCCATCTGGAATTTTCCTCAAAAGTAGCTTGACCGACGTCATAACGCGTAACCATAGTAACGGAATACCACTTAAAATGTTAAGATATGTCTAACGCAAGTCTGACGAATAAAGTCAATAAATGAACCGCTAATTGAAAAAGAGTTCCAATTCTGACTTACATCATTTTTTAGGAGAGTGGCATCTCCTCCCTCTTATACACAAGGGTCAAGATTCCGTGAAATGGAAGGGGAGAGACGAGCGTACTCAAATTGCCTGGCCAAGAACTAATTTTCGCTTATATTCAACTGCAAACGTAGCTCAGCATGTGCAGCTTTATTGTTACAAATGTGAACAACAGACACAGAGAATTTTCAGAAATAACGTTTAGAAATAATGGATAGTTCTGAAACAAGGAGGCTTCTCATCATGAGTTTGAAACTTTGTAATTTTTATTGTTTGACCTTAGACCGTTATAGAGAGGGAAGATCCGTTCGGCAATGGAAGTTGTGTTTCGGAGAGTGCTCTAAATGGCAAAAACTTGTATGCCAAAAAATACAACGCTTCGTACTCTAAACAGGTAAAAAAAAAATAACAACGTAAAAGATATTTATTAATTGCTAAAAGGTATTAAAAGATATGGTTGATCAGATGATAGGATTTTGCAGTTAGCCAATTACAACAAGAATACATCAGTTGGGACGTGGTGACGGGCTGAATTCACAAGGTATTACGCTGCGGCAATTTAGGCTATTATTAGTATGAACACCTATCTGATATGTGACTCTTTACTTTAGAGATCGGTGCGGAGCAGCTTCGCTCTGTCACAGAAATTGCGTCGAAATCACGGTTCTCGTGTGTGAACAGAAGCCCTGACTGGTATGGTTTTCGTGCCGGTGCCACAGCTACCTTATTAAAAGGAAATTAACGCTCCATGAAATTAACGCGAATCGTTAAAATTCGCGTTAATTTAAGTCGCGTTAATTTTGTTGAGCGTTAATTTCGGCGACGTTAATTAAGTGCAGCGTTAATTTCCGCGCTCTTAATTTCCAGTATCTTAACCCCAATTTTGGAACCTGTCCAGACATTCTTGACACCTAAAAAACATTAACTACAAGCTTTCTTTCTTTCTTTCCATTTACCCTTTATTTTTCATCTTTCACAAAAAGCTATGGCGAAGGTTTACAATATTTCGAGTTCATCTTCATCGTTGTCGCTTTTACAAGTGATGTCAATATCTTCTCCTTTGATTTCGCGTAATTAATCGCGTTAATTTCCTTTATGATGAAATTCTACTTCCTCTCTCGCGTTAATTTTCTTTATTCGAAAGTCGTTTGCCATTAAATTCGCGTTAATTCAAGTCGCGTTAATTTCCAATACCTTAATTTATCCGATATAGTATGAACGTAGCCTTTTAACGGTCACCCTTCAGTTACTAGAGCGAGACAGACTCTCAATCACATGAACACATTTTAATTTTTCAAATTAATTACTGGACATTTTTAGTCTAAATTAGCTTAAATTATTAGTGTTCCGAATTCTTGTGCGCACCTTTCATGCACAACATTTCTAGACCAGTCAATTATTGCTGTCTATCCCGCTTGTTTAGGCCTGTATGAACACTTGTCACGCGGATAAGCAGATAGCAGATTGTGGATGCGCCGAAGGCCAGTTCCCTACAGATGCAGATATATGCAATTTGCGTAACAAAACTATAGGTAAATATGTTTAAATTGCTATTATCTGTAACCCTATCAAATTCCATTGGTTTCGCCATTTCAAGCTTCCAAGGAACATTATGTAGAATCAAATTGTTATTTAATCATCATAACTGAATGGAAAGGATGCGTTATAAATTATTGTTATTATTATTTTAATTATTATTAGTATCATCATCATCGTCATCATCATTATTATTGTTGATATTATTATTTGTATAATAAATCCTCATTACAATAAGTTTAGCAGAAACATTTTCTTATCTGTTTTTTCAACAGCTAAGTGCCTGGAGAAAATACAATTTAAGCTGCTTACAGGAGAACTCGACTGCGAGGCTCAGTGTCCAACACCATGCAGGTAATTCAACTATTAAATGTACAAAATATTTTTTGTTCACGAAGATTAAAAATCGACCTTATCCACATACAACGCCCTCACTTTTTACCTTAATCGATTATTTAATTAATCAGCATTTGCTCTAATTAAAATTAAAGTTGCTTAGAACTTTCGGAAGACTTTCAACAATATCAGTCTGAAATCTTCTGATTTTCTGCAAAGAAAAAAATAATTGGCCAGAAATACATGTACATGGAAGAGCACAATATACTCTCGGTTACACCTTCTTTGATATCTTGTAACGATTAAAACATGTGTCACTCAGTTTTGTTTTCTCATAGAGAAGTTCAATACAAGAGCACCCTTTCAATGGGTCACTGGCCTTCCTTTGGATATGAGGTATTTCTTTATTATTATACCCTCCCTTTCGAATCCTTTAATAAGCATTAATATTCACATAATTTGTAGATTTAGTCAAGGCCAAAAGCGATGTCTTTCTACAGTACAGTACAGTACAGTTCAAATCCTCCAGTCGGTAAGCCTGTTACCATGGAGTTGCACTGGCGACTACACGGTCGACCAGTGTATCGAAACTACTCTTATCCTTTGTAGACCTCTTTACCTGAAGCCATTCATCTTTCGCCAAATCAAGAAGCAAACTGAATTCCTTCTGAAGAATGAACCTGAGCCAACAATTAATTAGATAACCAATAACTGTTCAGAGGAGAACTTAAAAAATACGTCACCTGAATCGTACACCTGAGCTTCGGATGCTGTCATGTGACACTTGTCATTGGATACCCTATTTTCATTGACAGCTGTCAATTGACGATAACATAGATTTTCAATAGTCAAATTAAAACCTAGAAAGTTTTTCATTTCACATCCGATAACTATGAAAGGAGTGGACGTACGGATGGACGATTTTGTCAGAACCAAAATTTCTTGGATGCATAGATAGTCAAATTTTATTACCCCCGCAGGGATTTCGCTCAGAAGGCGAAATCCCGAAGAGGCACTCTTCACTAGTTACTCGCGCGTTACTGAGAATGTTTTGATCAAAGCTGTGTAAATCGAACTGAAACTGTGCATGGAACTTTGCGTTTCCTGTATTTATATCTCACGTATTGTATGGAATATGTTTGAAAATCTTCATTATGAATCGGTATATTTCAAAGAACTACACAACGTCCAAGAATACTATTGACCGACAATATATAGAGCGGGGGCAGCTGTAGTGTCAACTATTACTCAAAAAGCTACCCATGGCGCTCTGCTGCAAATACTCCAGACTGATCTCCTTATATTTCCTTAAAGGATTAGTTAAAAGAATTTATTAAAAGATTCAAGTATTTTCTTGATGAATGGGTCGATAATGTTAAGAAAAAATTGATCTTGGTTACTGAATCCCGGCACTTAAAGGGTTAATGGCATTGTCCAGTCATCAAATTTCTCTTTTAACAGATTAAACTTTACCTAGAACGCTATAATAAACGCTGAAACTTTAAGAAGTTAGGAAGGCTGTGATCCGTGTGGACAGTTTGGTGAAGTAGAAAAAACTTCATCGCGTCCTTTCGTCCTTTTTCCCTGCGAATTTCGAAAGGTTTTGCAATTTATGAAAGTCGACTTTAGCAAACCCTCAAAAATTCCGTGTCTTACAACGCCCGAGCTTCGTCAAATATGTACTCATTAGTTTTAACACTTTGCTCTTCAGTTATGTATATCTGTATGATAAATCTAATCCTTCCAAATTCACAGAAATGTTAACTGCTTTGTGGCCTAAAAAGTTAGAATATTTACTCAGGTTTCTCTTAGCAAAAACCTTTAGTTTAAATAGTTATAAAGCCTTAACATTTTGTTTGTGTTTATTGCAGTCCATCCTCGAAAGTCGAGTTAAGACCGATTCCACCCTAGCAAAAGAATTGGATAATGGATACTTCTTGAGGTAATCAAAAATTACTCGTACGTACGATACTCAAGGTGGCACCTAGGGGAACAGAGGGGGAAGCGCCTAGTCTAGTATAAGGCGAATTTCGCCAAAGTTGGTTGGTTTCCGCAGAGGTCCTCCAACTTTTATTCAGTGTTGTCAAGAGAGAATTCAACAGTCGCTATAACAATATTCTACCTTTTCTATGGAATTGATTTGTGGACTCGATCAAAATGTGCGAACGCCTCAGGAAGTGGACTTGCGTTAAATTACAACCTCTTTTAAAACAACTTTTATTAGTGAGACTCACATATCCCGGCCAACGCCCTCAGAATCCTTCTCTGTCCCCTTCAGTACTCTCTTGGGATCAACTAAACCCAAAAAAGGACGAACTTACACTAAAACGTCTATGAAATTATTGAAATGATCATTTTTTTCGCATTCAATTGTCTGTACATGGTTTATATGTATATATATTTTACCTTTTGTTCAATTCAAATATTTGAAAGTAACGTCTTATCTTTCCATTTTCTTTTACTTTCAAGTGAGAACTTCCTTCAAGTTAAAGTCTTCTACGAGCAACTAAATTATGAAAAGGTCACCGAAAGAATAAGCTATGAGGTAATTATCATTTTCAAATTACAGTAATCTGTCAATTACATTGTCTATCTTGCTAGCTTTCATTCTAAATAATTATACTGCTGCGGAAGACACTACTTGGAATATATTTCCCATTCATAACAGTAGCCAATACGCAAACACATAAAATAATCGTATTGCACGTATTGCATGTAGACTTCAGGATGATAGGTACAGGTATACACCAGTAGGTGTTGATTAGAGAATTTTTTTTAAAGTGAGCAAACTAATGGCGGACTAGCGAACTCCGTGTTTCTTTAGGGATTCCATACAGCCACAAGGGTTGCTAGTAAGATAAATCTACTGAATTTCTATTTTTACAAAGTGAATATGTAAAAAAGTCTTATATTGCACGTATCACACGTAGACTTCAGCTGTAGGTTGTTCAAAAGTTCGATAGCGCTATCCACCGGATAAATCACTATCCAGCGGATAGTTTGGTTTCCCTAATACTTATCCGCTGGATAGTGATTTATCCAATGAATAGTGCTATCCAACGTTTGAACAACCTGGGCCAGGATGATAGGTACAGGTATACAATAGGTATGAATAAGAGAATTTTTTGAAGTGAGAAAAAACCTAAAGGTGGACTAGCAAACTCCGTGTTTCTTTTTTAATTCAATAGGGTGTTAATCTTGTTGCTGACATCGGAGGACAACTGGGGCTTTGGATTGGTATATCCGTACTTACTTGCTGCGAGTTCTTGGAATTAGCTTGGATGATAATACAAACGATTATTAACCGCATTTCAGGCAGGAGGATCGTTCATGTACTGCCAGTACATAAATAATCAACTGCATATTTCCCTATGTGTATGTGTTTCGCTCAGAGCCCGGAATCTTCATGACTAGATGAGAATTATGAGGCGTGCCTGAATTAACAGTGACATTTATATCAAGACAGGGAATACACCAACAGAAGTATCCAACATTACCTCGACTACTCTACTTATTCTGTAAAACAGAATAGATGGTCGCCGATGACGTGGTTTTCAGTCTGATATTCGTGATGTGATGCTTAAATACTACGGGCGGTTCTTTGCAAAGAGCTGCTGAACATTACAAAGACAGTTAATATCAAGTGGTCTCAGATAAATCAGTTGAAGTTATTAATGCGTTGTCAGTTGTAAACAGGCTGTGCTACGAGTGCGTTGAGCTCAAACAAGAAAGAAGCAAATCTGAAAACGGATGTATTATTATTTTAAGTGTTAATCTCATGGTAAAGGCTGAGTACACTATACATTTACGTATACGTTAGCTCCTTAAGATTCGTTTGCGTCGTTACGTTTACACAGTCTAACCTCCACTAATGCGCAGATTTAGTGGACGCTCACCGGGGGTGTAGTTAATATGAGAGGTTCCAGCAACAACAGGGCTTTGACTAGAAAAAAATTTTCATTGGCCTTTCAAAAGCCAGTTGGATATATATGTTCGTTTATGGGAAGTGGTAGCTTATGGGTGGTGGTCCCACATGGCGTTTCAGCTGTATTTAATAAAAAGGAAATTAGTTACTAGAAAGAAAGATTTGTTGCTTAGAAAGTTAGAACAAAAGTGGGAGAAATTTTAAATTCATTCAAACCCTCCAAACTTTGTAGGCCTCTGTTCAAACGACATAGTAAAGAACTGAATATCCCAGTTGACAACCGCTTACCTGGTAAAATTTGGAAGACGGACAAACTAACCTGTTCCTTCATCCTAGGGAGCTTATTCAAACTGAACAATACTCCGCCTAGAGATTTAAAAACAATTTATCGACTTGATACAGTCAAACTCGCAATTCCCTGCTGTGCTCGCATTTTGAGGACAAAGCTGAATTTGGCCACCAGGGTTTGGATTTGGCGTTGAAACGTCCCCTGCTACCCAAGGATGATTAAACTTCTTTTGCGCTTGCCTGCGCTTGTAAATTAGACAATGACTGCAATCTATGCTGTCTTTCATTAAATATATTAAATTGGTCTGAAAAATTTAACTAATCACACATCTCGTATCACTTATCATTATTCATTCAAATATCAGTCTCCGTTTCTGATTGGCTCAAATCCCACGGTTAATTCTCCATAACTAGTTAGCGTTAACCAGATTTGGAAGAGTCGTTTGCGATATCCAGTAAAATGACGTCATTAGAACAGGACATCTTCATAAAAAGGGACTGACGGCAACCGGGAAGTCCTAGGGACAAGGTTGAGGCTTAGCTGTTTTTTTAAAGCTGGACAAACTGGCAGAAAAATGAACATGCTTTGCGAAGAAGAAATGGCCGTTACTTAAAACATAAAAAGAGCAGCTAAAACACAACCCGACGGCTGACAATAAACAATTATTGAATGAGGTATTTGTGATATCCGGAATAATCAAGGTCGAGGTCCAGGTAAGTGTTCAGTCTGCCGAGCCGAAAAAGGCCGAGGCTGATAACACTTACGGAGACCTTGATTATTTAGGATATCACGAAAAGGGAATCGAGTATTTATAATCCTTTTTTTGACAAAAATAACAACAAACACACCATCGAAAGGAACTTGAATTGATATTGTTTTTGGAAATCATGCATTGTGCGCGCAACCTACAGATTAGTCACTTATCCGTATCTGTACGTTGCACTGATTTTCAAAATTAACTGTAAGCTCTTAGCCAGTGAGAGAACAGATAGTGAGTACAATCGGTATAATAATGAAGAATATCTGCTGACTAAACATGCCTTGATATGTTAAATTTGACAAGGTACTAAGCCAATGAAGACAACGGCAAGTGCTGCAATTTGTATCTGATTGAAACGGCTCCCTGACTGAGCACAGTCCTTTGCTATTTGTTCACATACTGTGACGGAATAAATCAATGCACCTTATTTATTGCTCAGTAAGATCAAAATCATAGCAATGCTATTGAACGTTGTGCAACTTCAAGTCCACAAAAACATGTAACAACGGAGTCCTGACGGAACTATGATCGAGGTAAGCATCTTTCTTGGTATGAAAGTATGAATCAGTGAAACCTTTGCTTTGGCACCCTATGAAGGCATCCCTCTAGTCAGCCATACGGTAACGTTAACAGATTCATAAAATCAAGAACCAATCTTCTAAGAACTTGAAAGGAGTCAAGAT